ATGTGATGTATGAAATCAAGAGTAGCAAGCTCTGTGGAGTGGTTTGGCCTAAAACCGTATTGATTATTGCAAAAAATTTTGTTGGCCTCAAAAAAGGAGAACAACCTAGTATAAACTAATTTTTCAAGAAGTTTGGATAGTGGAGAGAGAAGAGAAATGGGTCTATAGTTATTGATGTCATCAGGTTTACCGTTTTTAAATATAGGAATAACTTTAGAAGTTTTAAAAGTATCAGGGAATACACCAGTGGACAAAGATAAATTGAAAATATGGATTAGGGGAATTGTTAAATTGTGAATTGTATTTTTTATTAAAAACATATTTAATCCGTCAGCAGCAACCGATTTATTATTTTTCATCTTGGCAGTTAAAGTTATCAATTCAGAAGTTGAGATGGGGTAAAAATCAATAGAATCAGATAGAGAGCGGCTTATGAATGAAATCGGATTAGTTGAAACAGCAGGAAGAGTAGAAAGAAGTTTGTTGCAGATAGTAGTAAAGTGTTCGTTCAAGTGTTCACATATGTCCTGTTTGTCGTCAATGGGGATGTTGTTAATGGTGAGTTTAGATATAGGAAGAAAAGATGAATTGGAGTTCAGGGCTTGCTTTATCAGTTTCCATTGGTATTTGGGATCATTTTTAGAAATAGCAAAATTGATGATATAGCATTTGCGCTCAGTCTTTCTTTTTATTGAAGTGAAGAAGTTACGGAACTTTTTGTAAGCAGAGATGTTAGTATCGGTAGGAAATTTGATGCTTTTTATATATAATTTATATTTAGTTTTGGATAATTTGATGATATTTTTATTGATCCAACCTTTATGGCGTTTGTACTTGGAAGGTAGTTGTGGTGAGACAGCGTCTAGAATCCTGAAGAAAAGAAAGTAGAAATTTGTGCAACATTCGTTGATATCGGTTAGTGTAGTGACTGAAGACCAATCTTGATTAGATAAACAAAAGTTTATCTGCTCAAGTGATCTGTAGGAAAGATTTCTAGAAACTTTTGGAGGAGTAGTAGTATAATACATTTCAAAAGAAGAAGATGTGGTAAAAATAGGAAAGTGGTCTGAAAAGTCATGTAATAAAATACCAGAAGAATGGACTGATAGGTTGTTAGTAAAAATGTTGTCTATTAAAGAAGAAGAAGACTGAGAAACACGAGTAGGCTTGGATATAAGAGGATAAAAATTAAAAGAAGCTAAAAAATCAGGAAAAGATGCAACTGAGTGGTTAAGAAAAGGTTTCAGGAGATTTATGTTAAAATCACCAACAAGATATGTATTAGATTTAGATTTAAGTTTCACAAAAATGAGATTGAGTACTTGAATAAGCAAATCAATATCCGAATCCGGGGGTCTATAGAAAGCATATAAATATATTATTGCGTTGTTTAATTTGATTTCGATACCCAAGTAGTCAACTACACAATTGGAGAGCGTAACTTCATCCAAGACTGAATAATTGATACCCTCCCTGAGAAAAATCCCAACACCACCACCTTGCTTGTTCGGTCTGTTTTTGAAAATAAAATTGTAATTAGTTAATTTAATAAGTTTAGCAGATAACTCGTTCAACCAAGATTCAGAAATAACTATTATGTTAAAAAAATTATCTAAAGAATTAATCAAAACAAGTAAATCATCAACTTTATGTAATAAACTCCTACTGTTAATGTGCAAAATGGATAGTGAAGAGTTGAATGGAATAATTTTGATTGTATTGAAAGTATAATTAAAATCGTTGATAGTGTAGTAAGGAGAATTATAAGAAAAAGAATTAAGTAAATTAACATCAGGATCAATGTTAGAAAAAAGAATATTATCATTATTGGAGGAAGTAGTTGAATAATTATTTAACAAAACATTCGAAGCTGACGATATAATCAGAGGGTCCTCTTCTGTTATATGATTGTTAGATATTTTAGCCATTGTTAGTTGATGTAGTTTGGCCAGATTTACTGTTGAGGAACCGCCATTCACGGATGATTACGTTTTCTGGCAAATTGTCAGGATCTTGAATTTTAGAAGTATCACTGGCGTTGATGCATACTCTGAACATTGTTGAGTCTTCGTCTTCATTACGAGGCAGAGTACCTGACGGAGCCAGAGAGCGCTTCTGCACTGGATAGCACGAAATTACCTGAATACCCACCTCTGATAGGTAGTCAATCACATTACTTCTGCTGCATTTTTTGATGTTGCTCATGGCAAATACAGATTTTTTGATCAATTTTTTATCAGCACTGAGTTTATTATTATCGTTTTTTTTAGCGCCAACTATTTTAGTTGGTAATTTTGATGATTCCAATTTGTTGCTAGTTATTGCAGGATTAGGTTGATTGGTTTCAGGTGAATTGTTAAGTCTTGGTCTTTTTTTGTTACGAGCAACAATACTGAATGGCAAAGGGTTGTCTTCTAATGGAGATTGAACTACATCTGACCAGAGTGTAGCTGAATTAGCTGGATTAGGCATAGTTACGATGTTGTTTTTTTCCGGAAATATTGCCGTCGAAGTATTACTCGAATGACTGGCAAAATTATAGTTATCTCGTTGGACGCTAAAAAATTATC